AGTGTTGGCTTTAGGATACTGCAGGTAGTGTTGGCTATTTCGTTCTAAGTGTTCTAAGTGTTTCCGCGCCTCTCCTCAAAATATTGACTTTGAATGAAATTTCAATTCCTTAGATTTCCCCCTGGTTCAGTACCAAAATTTCAATCAACGTTTTTTAGTTTCCAACATTTTAGTTGAATTAATATTTTACAAATATAATATTACTTGCTACTTTTAAATATTTTTGTGAAAATATTCATAATGGATGAGAAAATTATGTTGAAATATTACAAGCGGTAAATGCACCTTGGATCTGCTTCAAATAGTTAATTTTTTATGACATCAAACAGTTGATCCGATATTAATATTACAAGTGAATTTTTAGCTTCAAATTTTAATTAAATTTACTAATGTATTTCTAATCACTACTTCTTAACATATTTATCAAAAAATTATAATGGATGAAAAATTTTTGCTAAATTCAAAGAACTAGTAAATATATTCTTTCTCAAGTTGTAATAGTTTAGATAGTTGTTCTAACTAGAAACTTTCATTAATTTTTTTCAGTTAAAACCTATTGAGTAACTATGACTAGTTTAATAAATCATCAAATTTTTAAAAAATTAAATTAATATTTAAGTAACTATGACTACTTTAATAAATCATCAAATTTAAAAAAAATTTAAATTAATATTGAGGCTCACAATTAAATAAAGTCATAGTTAATAAATCATCAAATTTTAAAAAACTCATGCTTTTTTTTATTTTTAATTTGGTTTGAAGCATAGATTTTATTGCTATAGTATTATTCTTTATTTTTTAGTACAAAAACACAAATTTTCATCAATATAGGTGGCAAAATTTGTTAATTACATATAAGTGAAAATATACTTTTATAATTACAGCACTAAAGTACATCATTAATTGAAAATAACAAAAGTCAAATTCTATGGTTATAACAGACTTTCATTAAAAATAATCAAATGCTATTAAAAAGACGTTATTGTTAAGTCAAAATCAAAGAAAATTTAGTGATGACATAATGTTATCACTAATTTATTCAAGATTATAATGACAAGAAAAGTCGTGACTAATTAAATTGCTAGTTTTTAATATTGTCAATTGCTAGTTTTTAATACTTTTGTGAAAATATTGATAATGGTTGAGAAAATTTTGTTACATTACTGCAAGTGATAAATGTACTTTTCTTCTTTTTCAAACATTTATTTTAATGTTTAATTTTGTTTAAAACTATTGTACTAGTATAGATTTGCAAGACAAAACTTAAGTTCTCAATAGTTAAAAAATTCATTACAGAGAAAACACAAAGTAGTAGTTTATATATATATATATATAGTTGTGCATTAAAATAAACAGCTACCTAAAGCCAAGTTGAGCATCAGGAGACTGGGCCAGTCTCTTTCTTGCTCTACAGAAAAACACAGTTATCAAGTCTCAACTAAACAAGTAGTCATCCTAGTTTTTAGTTTCCTAGTTGTCAGTTACAAATAGTCATACTCGTTATGTTCTGTGTGAAAAAAAATAATCTTTTGATGGTAGTTAGTTACCTATGAAAAACTAGCGAATATAGTTCCTTTTTCCTTAGATCTTTCAGTAGATACAGAAATGGTATACATCAGCCCAAATTTCAGATGTTTGCCAGCACATGTCTTGTTCCTTGTAGCTCTTGTTCTGTGCATGTATATTCCTGCAATGGCTTCAGGGAACGCCACTGACCAACAAGTTTTACTGGACATAAAGAGCAGGATTTCTCAGGATCCATTCCAGATTATGGCTGGTTGGAATGATTCTGTGCACTACTGCCTGTGGGAAGGTGTTACATGCAATTCATCCAATGATAGAGTCATGATCATCAATTTGTCAGCAAAGAATTTGGTTGGTTCTGTACCCCAATCCATAGGCAACCTTACTTATTTAACTGCTCTAAACCTGCCAAACAATACTTTCCGAGGTAAGATACCTCAGGAAATTGGTCGCTTACTCCGGTTGCAGCAGCTCAATCTGACTTGGAATGAATTCAGTGGAGATATTCCGGTGAATTTAACTTACTGCACAGAGCTTAGAGTGCTTGATTTGGACCATAATGAGCTTGTTGGGAAGATTCCTGAGCAGCTTAGTTCACTGTCAAAGCTGGTGTTATTTGGTCTTGGCGGCAACAACTTCACTGGTTCTTTGCCTGCTTGGATTGGAAACTTTTCATCTCTGCAGAAAATCACACTTGCTTTTAACAGTTTTCAAGGACGTATACCTCCCGAGCTTGGCCGCCTCTCAAGATTAGGGTTTTTTCGAGTTTCTGGAAATGAATTATCTGGTACGATTCCTTCTTCAATCTATAACATATCATCCATTTACTACTTTTCTGTTACTCAGAACCAATTGCATGGGGAACTCCAACCAAATGTTGGCCTTACCCTTTCTAATCTTGAGATATTTGCCGGTGGGGTGAATAATTTTACTGGACAAATCCCTGTTTCGTTATCAAACGCTTCCAAGCTTGGCCTGGTAGATTTTGCTCAAAATGGCCTCACTGGAACAGTCCCTGCGGTTTTAGGAAAATTGACAAATTTGTTTAGGATCAATTTTGATGATAACAAGCTTGGAAGCAGGCAGAGTGGGGATTTGGATTTCATTTCTTCCTTAACCAATTGTACAGTTCTGGACGTTTTGGGATTGGCAGGAAATTCTTTTGGTGGAGAGTTGCCGAGTTCAATAGCCAACCTCTCAGTTAACCTCAGCATTCTCACCCTCGGTTCCAATTTATTCCACGGAAAGCTTCCTTTAGGAATTGGAAATCTTGTCAATTTGAACGTTCTAGGGCTGGAAGAAAATTTCCTAAGTGACAGCCTTCCTGATATCCTTGGAAATTTTAAATCTATACAGGGGCTAGAATTAAATGACAACGAATTCTCTGGGTGGATTCCATCTTCTATCAGTAACTTGACATCCTTAAACAGACTTTACCTGCAAAACAACAGACTAGAAGGAACGATACCTCCAGAGCTAGGTAAGTGTAGAAGTTTGCTGGTTCTGAATCTCACTGGGAATAATCTTATTGGCGCCATACCAGCAGAGATCACTAGTCTATCTTCTTTGTCTATCTCTTTGGCCATTTCACGAAATTCTCTCAGTGGCTCGCTGCCTCTTGAAGTGGGCAAGTTGGTTAATCTGAATGAGTTGGATTTATCAAAGAACAAATTATCAGGTGAAATTCCTAGCACCCTCAGCAGTTGTCTTAGTTTGGAGCGCCTTGTGTTGAGCGGTAATTTGCTTCATGGAACAATTCCTGAGTCTTTGAAAACATTAAGAGGTATTGTGGAGATGGATTTTTCACACAACAACTTGTCAGGAGAAATTCCAGAGTTCCTTAGTAAGCTGCCTTTCCTCAAAAAACTTGACCTCTCTTTCAATAATTTTGTCGGCAAAGTGCCTACTGAAGGAGTTTTTTCAAATGCAAGTGAATTTTCATTAATTGGAAATGAGAAGTTATGTGGTGGTGATCCAGGCTTGAATCTTCCTGAATGCCCAGAATTGGCACGTAGAACAGCCACGTTCCTTGAACTAAAAGTATTAATCCCTGTAATTGTTTCTATTGTTTTCCTGGTATTCCTATTTTGCGGTCTTGCTGCTCATTTTGCTCTAAGGAGATCAAGTGAAAGACCTTCAACATCAACTCCGTCAACTGTAGAAGATTGGGAACGTGGAATTTCATTTGAAAAAGTATTTAGCTCAACAAACGGATTCTCTGCAGACAACTTAATTGGTTCAGGTAGTTTTGGTTCTGTATACAAAGGAGTTCTAGATGAAGATGGTCCAATTGTGGCAGTGAAAATACTGAACCTCCAACAGAAAGGGGCTTCAAAGAGCTTCATGGATGAATTGAGAGCTTTGAGAAGCATAAGGCACCGTAATCTACTCAAGATCCTTGCTGCTTGCTCCAGCATTGATCCTCAGGGTAAGGATTTCAAATGCTTGGTCTTTGAGTTCATGAGCAAAGGAAACCTGGACCAGTGGCTGCATCAAAGATGTGATGATCAATGTCAACCAAGAAGTTTGGACATTGTCCAAAGACTGAATATAGCTGTGGATATTGCTTCGGCTCTGGATTATCTCCACAATTATTGCCAAAACCCAATAGTTCACTGCGACCTAAAGCCAAGCAATATACTCCTTGATGAAAATATGACAGCCCATGTTGGAGACTTTGGATTGGCAACGTTCCTTCTTGAAGATTCAACACTGTCACAGACAATATCAGCTGGCCTTAAGGGCTCTATTGGTTACATTCCTCCCGGTATATTCTCCATTAATAGTCTTGAAAACCTTTTGCTCTAACTTAGGAAATATACCAGGCAAATTTTTTTGGAATTCTTAACTTTGTTATGCTTTTCATTTTAATTGGTTTTACATACTGTAATTCTTGGTACATTATGCTAAGTTGACTCTCCAATTTCATTGCAGAGTATGCTTCTGGCTGCCCGGTGTCCACATCTGGCGATGTATACAGTTATGGGATTTTACTGCTGGAATTGTTTACAGGTAAAAGTCCAACTGATGACATCTTTAAGGATGGTTTAACTATCCATGAGGTTGTTGCTAGGGCTTTAGCTGGGCATATCATGATGGAGATAGTAGATCCAAATCTGTCATTGGCAGAAGAAAAACACTGCAAAGATGAGTATGAATCTAGTGAAATGAAGGAGGAAACAATTCTCAACAATAATCTGTCACAAAATTCCAGTAGGAATCTGGATGAATGTTTGATTTCAGTACTGAGAATTGGACATTCATGTTCCAACTCGCTTCCCTTGAATAGGATGCCGATGACCATAGTTGTGAACAAAATGCAGGAAATCAGAGACCTATACTTTGGGATTAAGAAGAACAGAAGGAATGAAATGGATATAAGATATTAATTGCTCATTTTATCATTTCATTCTTGCAATATGGTAGGAAGTTTACCATTCTGCTGCCTTTGTTTTATGGTGAGAAACAAGAGTAGCTTATACTGCCAAATCTGCATTGCTGTTCTGAGATGTTGGATCCCATCTCTTGATATATGGAAGTGTTTACATGTGACAAAGCAGTATATATGATCAGAGAAACTGAGATAGATGTCTTTGGTTCTGTATATAAGCAGGCTGAGGCTATATCATCATTTGTCCATCCGGTCCTGTACTTGAACTGAATTTTTGTGGTGAATTTCAAGTTTCAACTAGAATAAAATTGGTGTTACAACATTGAAAAAGATGAGGTAATCATATTGCATTCATGTAGCAGCAAAAAATTGATTATCTTGTGCAACAACAAGTGCTGAATTCAATCACTAGGAAAAATTAATTAGGCAAGATAATCATGAAATTCCTATTTCGACTTTCGATCCCCTCTCTTTTCTCCTTCCCTATTCTCCTTGAAAGATTTAGAATGTATTTTGAATCCAACAAAGACAATAAAAAAAAAGGTATATGGATAAACTTTGGTTCATTGAAGAATATCATTCTAGCTAGTTAACATAAAATCTCAAGATAGCTTGAGCAAAAAAAGGTTCAAAATTACCTCTACCAATAGTTCGATATCACTTTCTTCCTTCCGTCCACTAGGTCAAATTTATGGGTCCAAATGTCATCGATCCTTCTAGGCATTGCTATTTTGTCTAAAGTATGAAGAGTCACGATCATCAATAAATTAACATGCAACTTTTTTGCCTCTTCCTGATAAACTTTTCCAGCAAAGTCATCCAATGCTACGAAGCATAGTTATAAAACCTGGTCCAGTCCGGTGGTTGAACCGATCGGCTTGATGATCGGCTTGATGACCTGGGCATTAGATTGGGTCGGACCTCTAGTTGGATCGGACAAACAATTAACCCGGTCAAATTTGGACAAGCCCGGTTGACCTGGTGGTTCAACTGAAAACCCACCTGATTTTTCAATTGATCTAGTTTACCATTTTTTTTTAATTGTGGGTCTTTGTTTTTGAAACAAAATGTATATATGCGTTTGATAAGATTTGTACATTATACCTTCATTTGAATATGTATAGACTTCCCCGCTTGCTTAGTTTTTATTTGATAACTAAATATTTTTTTACAAACTTGTTTTTTTTATTATACAATTAATCCTTTTAACTTTTAAATTTACAATATTTGATTAGTTAGAAAATTATTTTGTTTTTAAATGAAAATAAAATAATGCTATATTTTTTAAACAAGCGATATAAATTTTGTTTTTATACTTGACTATATTATTTATTATTTAAAAGTATGATAAAATGAAATTGAATCTTCAATTAATATCTATATATTTATTATATATCTTTCTAAGTACAATAATTAGTATCTGAAAGCACTTTATTATATATTTTATATATATTAACATTACTATTTTATATTTATAAATATTAAATTAATACTCACCGGTTCAACCAGTGAACTAGTGACCCAGTCCCTTTGCTGGATTCCTTTTTTTTTCCAACAAACGATAACATCTTTTATATATATATAAACACTTGATCGTACAAGGATTAAGTACAAAAAAAGGGATACTACCCTCATTTCCCTCTTTACTAAATCTATCAGCCATATTGGGAAGTCTTGTTCCCATTCGATATTATGCACCACTTTAACTGCAAAATGAGCTAGTGCATGGCTGATTTCATTTTCTGTTCTAGGAATAAACACAAAGGAACACTTGTCAAAACCTATTCTAAGATCCTGCACATCTTCTTGGATAGTTGCAATGCTATAATCATATTCACTGCATCTGTTAATCTGCTCAACTACTGATTTGCAGTCTGTATGGACTATAATTTTTGTCCATCCTGCTTGTTTAGCCATCAATAGTGCATTCCTAACTGCGAGAGCTTCTTCTTTACTTGCGGTTCCCTTCCACTGATTTACAATTCCTTTGGCTCTCATGATCGTTCCTTTCCAATTCCTTGCTATGATCCCTTGTCCAGTCCTGATCCTTTTTGCTGATATGGCCGCATCCGTATACAAACTTACTACATCTTCCCTTAGCTGTTCTCTTCTTGCTTGGTGTCCCCTATTGTTCTGGCCTGTTCTGCTCTCCTGTTCTATCTCCCTTGCTTGCTCGAACTCCAACCACTCCTCTTGTGCTTTCTGTACTGTTTTGTGAGGTTCCTGTTTTGCACTATCAAAAATTCTTTTGTTCCTGGCTTTCCAGATTTGCCAGAAAATGTTGATGGTGAGATTTACTCTATCCTGTCCTTGCTCCATCGAGAGTGAATGAGTAGCTTTCTCCCACTAGAGCCATAGGTTATGCTGTTTATCTTGGAGCCCATCCCACCTCACTGGAGCCATTTTCCATACTTCTGCTGCATTTTCACAAAAAAAAAAAAGAGCAAGTGCTCAATAGTTTCCACAGCTTCCCCACAGCAGTCACATCTTCGCTCTCCTTTCCCCAGCCTTTTGAACATAATCTCGTTTATTGGTAGGCCCAATTTTAATAACGATGCTACAAAGTCTCCCTATGAAAAGACCTTGCCTCCCAATAATAGGGAAAAAAAAGGCTCCACATTGAACTTAAAGAAACGTCCACAGCCCAATGATAACTAGGGTGAGCAAATTTGATAAGAACCGAATTCATACCCGATTTCAAATTTAATTTGGTAATTTGAAATCGGGTATTTGGTAATTTGGTACAAAAGTGGTATTTACCAAATTCACCGAATTCTAATATGATATGAAATAGGTAATGGGATTATCAATTTGGTAATAACCGATTTCAAATTCAAATTTGATAAAACAAAATAGGGCACTATATTACCGCATTCGAATACCAAATTAATTTATAAATTTATATATTATATAGACAAATGCTATATACTATTAATAGATTACATAGGTAAAGGCTATTAATAATACATAGTATATAGTATTATCATGTACTTATAATACTAAAATATATAGTGATTTAAATTATATTGTTTTAGTATTTGTTATATGATTATAATAATACAAATATACAATAATGCATAACTATAATACTTACCCTTTTATACATAACTAGAATTAGCTAATAAGTATAAGTATAGTACTAAATATTAAACATAATTAGTAATTAAAATTTAGACATTGGTTCATCATTTATGTTTGGATTATTAAATAGTTGAATGTATAGTGTTTAACTTGCAAGTATTAGTATACTCTAAATTTACATTACGTATACAATATGTTTTACATTACATATACAATATGTGAATTTATATTCTCTAATCACCAATCTTGTTTAGACGTAGACAATTAACCAATATGATTAAGCAGTCTAAGCGAATGTATATGAATTACATGTCAACATATTAGCGTATTAGCATTTACAGTTGAAAACAATCAAGTTATTTATAAATTAAGCATTTAAGTTATATCAAAAATAAGAATAAATGTAAGTGTAATGCAATATATCATTAGTAAATTATAAGTAACTAAGTGTATACAACTACACAAGTGAATCCCATTTAATTATGTGGAAATTACAATCCAATTTAGTTATAACTGGTTTCATGACCTTTTTTGAATTCAATTCAGTAACCGAATGAATTCGGTTATTCCCAATTCAAAATTAAAAGCAATTTAGAGTTTTACAAGTGAAATAACCAAAAAAATCGAATTCAAATAACTGAATAACCGAATTTTTACCTAATGCACACCCCCCTACTGATAACTACATGATTTCAAAATTTCTCTAGACAATAGTCAAGGTGCTTTAGTCATTCCAAGGCCTATAGTATTCCGATGAAGCTATTGGGAAAATCATTCAAAACATTTTCACATTTTGCAAAATGACTTTTTCTGTTCCTCACTTGTAAAAGTATAATTTTACGTTCCTTACAAATTCACATTGATCAAATTTGATCCCTACTTAGATTTCTGACTAGTTTTTTACCAGAATCCGACACATGCCTTGCACATGATCATTTTTTAGGGGTAAAATTGTCAAATCAAATTCCATATAATCCGATCTATAGTTCCTCACATTTCACAAAGTAAATTTTTCTGTCTCTCACATTTCACAAAATGATTTTTTTTCATTTCTCATTGATCATGTGTATGAATAGCTTTAAAAAAAAAGAAAGAAATCCATGTATATTTCTATTTATTTTTACCTAAACAGTACAAATAACATATAATATATCTTTATTTGATTTCATCTACAACAAAATTAGCTTATTCAAGTGAAATCAAATAGAAAGATACTACATGATATTTGTACTATTCAAGTGAAATTGAATAGATATATATACATGAGTTTTTTAAAAAAAAAAGAAAAATAATTCATACACATGATCAATGAGGGATGAAAATTTTCATTTTGTGAAATGTGAGGGACGAAAAAATTCATTTTGTGAAATATGAGAGACTATGGATTAGATTATGTGAAATTTGATTAACAATTTTGCCTCTCAAAAATGATCACGTGCAAGGCTCATGGTGGATTCCAACCAAAAACTAGGTTAAAATTTAGATAGAAACTAAATTTGACCAATATGAATTTATAAAGATTAAATTACACTTTTAAAAGTAAGGAATGAAAAAAGTTATTTTATAAAATATGAGAGACGTTTCGAACGATTTTTCCTTTTGAAATGGAAATGTAGGCCATCCTTACTTTTACATGTTAACCCAACCAATTCTCGAGTTCTCAATGTCCAAGTTTAATTCAACTAACTCGTGTTAGGGAATTTGCCGGCAAACAACACATAAAGATGCAATTTTGGTTGCAGATTAGGGGTTCAAATCATGGCTGCAGATCAGGAATTTGGCTCCTGTTCAGTAAATTCTCTCTCCATTTTTCACAATGCATATTTGGATCCATGACATGTGTCTTAATTTACTAGAATGGGACCTGATCATCCTAAATTTGACTAATCTTAACCCTTGTTAATAAATAAGGACACATGTCATGCATCCAAATGTGCACTGCAAGAAATGAAAAGAGAATTTATTGAAGAGAAGCCAAATACGTAGGTCAGGGGTTCAAATCCTTGCACTTGCATTTAAATCTTAAAGATGTCAAGCTAAGCCCTTGCTCCTATACTTAAATCCAAAAAATGTCTAGTAGTGCACGCCTTTGATTTAAAGGTGATTTCTCTTCCTATAATCTCCTTTGATCCAGTTGGATCTTCCCTAAAAATAGGATAATTTAGGAGTAGCGTTGCTGTTGATGATTATCCAAAAAAAAAAAATCCAAGTTTAATTTCAAGTCAGCCAAATTATTGTGTCTAGTTTCTGAAGTCCTCTCTGAAACTAAGCCCTACAGCCTCGCTCTACCAAACGTTGTAGGCCAACTTGGATTTTTCCATCCTGGTGAGTTCAAGTTCAAGCCAACAGATGGATGATACACTTACCAGCTAACTGGTAATATTTCACGTGATCTTGCTTGTGATTATATTATCCCAAGATCCAATTATTTGTTATGTTTGATTATCAATATCATGTTAATGTGTTTGTATTTTTTGGGTAAATTACATATAATCCTCTTGTGATTTTATCTATTGCCACATGACTCCCTTAATATTTCAAAATATCCATTTCACCCTCCTATGATTTTATGTAAAGTGGAAATTTGATTCAAAATAACCCATGTAACGTCGTTAGTTGAAATACCAATAATGCCCTTACTTAAATGCTAAATCAATTAACGGCCTAACCACCTTGTATAAAAGTATAGTGAAATTACGTGAATAAATGTAAAAATCATAGGGGTAAAGTGGATATTTATACAAACTATAAGGGATTTACATGGATATTAAGATTTTATCACACTTATTTTTAAAGCACATTTGGTATAAATGCCGTAACTAATTGTGTATTCCATCCATTTTCTGCTTTACTTAAAGTCATAGGGGAGTTATGTGGTTATTTTAAAATATTAGAGAAGTCATCTGGCATTGTGCAAAACCATTGTGTAAAACCACAAGGGGTAATAAGAAATTTATCCTATTTTTTTCATTTGCTTTAAAAATTGTTTTTAGATCGCATTTTTTGAAAGTCATAAATCTATAATTTTTCAAACTCTTTCTAAGCTGTAATAACAATTTGTATTGAACTCTAACACACAATTATTGACAGTATTATGTTTTGACAAATTTATAGTATATTACCATTCAACTTGCAGAATCATAAGGAAATCAAAATTTTTTTAATACACAAAACTATATTGTTAAGCAAATAAATTAGATACATAATCAAGCATGGGAGAAGCAAACAACATTTATAAATAGTATCAAGTAAATACTTAAAATTGAAAATTATTATAGATAATGCTAACCCCTTAAGACACTTATAATTCTAAAAGTGCGTTTGATAAAATTGAAGTCTAAAAGTTGAAATCTCAAATCTAAACTCTGAATCTATTAAATTACTGAATTGTTAAATGTTGAAATCTTAACATTTGAGCATAATATGCATTAAGTAATAAGTGAATATGTTATCACTTATTTTTTGGAATAAGTTTTGTCTAGAAATAAGATGTTCTATTTTTTGTTATCAAATGCATTTGAATATGTAAAGATTTTAACCCATTAAGTTAGAATATTGAATTGGATTATCAAACATTCCTTAACTTTTTTTTTGGGTTAAAATCTCCCTTAATTTCAGATGTATACACTTTGCCTCCTACGACTCGTCAAACATTAATAATGAACTTTCTGTCCAAAAATGTTGATGAAATGATATTAGTAGCCACATACGGTGGTTGTTGGATAATGCGAATGCCACACTTTAAGTTGGATGGAGCACCTTATTAAAAAAAAATTGAGTAACATGATGTAAAAAATTAAAAAATAAAAGATGGCAAAATATTAAAGAGTTGAAAAATGTTCTTGTAGACCTACACAATTTTAAAAGAGTCCCAAAAACTTCTACATTAGTTTTCTGTCGCTTCTCTTTCTTTCTTTCTTTAAAGGAAAAATCGTTCAAAACGTCTCTCACATTTTGTAAAATGACTTTTTTTGTCCCTTACTTTTAAAAGTGTAATTTTATGTCCCTTACGATTTTATATTAGTCAAATTTGATCCCTACCTAAGTTTCCGACTAGTTTTTTGCCGGAATCTATCATGTGCCTTGCACGTGATCATTTTTGAAGGGCAAAATTATCAAATTAAATTTTACATAATCCGATCCATTGTCCTTCACATTTCACAAAATAAATTTCTTCGTCCCTCACATTTCACAAAATGAATTTTTCCATCCCTCACATTTTACAAAATGAATTTTGT